TATAGTAAGGAGGGACAGAGATAAACACTGTCTAATGTCATTCCCTAGCTATAGTCGGTTGGTTTGAGCTACACTCTTTCGTTTTCATAATTACGAATATGTTTTATAAGAATATCGTGGCTGAAATTTGTGATATTTTAAGAATACCTTAAGAATATTTTATAATTAAACCAGAGGCTGAGATTTTGAAACAAACATAGTTTTGTATGCTACGTTGAAAATTTGTCAATAGAATACAATTATGTTTTTAACTAAACAGTATAAAATTCTTCCTTTCTCTAAGCAGCAAAACTAGCCAAGAAGCAACAAAAACAGCATTAGCCGTACGTTCGACTGATGTTTATAACGCTTCTGTAAGAAGTTATGTACGTCATATCAAGCTTTAATGCTGCAGGCTGGCTTCTAAATTACTTTAAGACCATCCTGCCACCAAATATATCCGAAAACAGAAATGCCATCCGCTTTAATCTAAGAATATTCACAAGAATAATTTCAGCCTAAAATTGACCAAAAAATGGGAATATTCAGCCTCGGCCGTAAAAACAATAGTCTTATAAGAATAAAAAGAGTGTAATGTTCCATATCATCACTTTGATGAACATTTTTTGCCATATAAAACCCTTCCATCGATGTCGGATTTGTTTTACTATCGCCGCAGTGAACACATGTACAAGCTGTAGATTTGTTTCTTACACGTGCTGCTAGAAGATGTGGCAGACTTAGGCAATACGTTGTCTCAATACTGAAGTAACGAAACTTTTCGTTCTACGGTCTACGTCTTTAGAGGAACTCCCAATATATTTTCATTGTGTAAACCTGCTTCCACTTCATATGGTCTTCACTCTTTTGTTTTGCATGCAAAACGTGGAACCGATCTCTACCCCAGAAGTCTACTGTAACTCAGTCATTTCAAACGCCTCGTGAAAACAGCCTCCTTTCAGGCATGATTACTGATCACTGCACTCGGATTTGAAAGATAAATTTTGATCATGTAGACAAACAAAATAGTTTACAGTAGTTCTTGTTGTTTTTATATTTACAATGTTATTCTTCTCGAAGATATTAGCTTCTTAGCTAATCTGTAAATTCGAAATAAAATAAAAGTCATGTATATATGTTTGATGAATACAAACCGGAGGATATGGCCCAAAAGACTTTCCGTCTTGCAATGCAAAGTATTAATGAAGCAGTTTCAAACGGTCGTATCGATTATAATTCGTTGGCCCACCGATTTTCAGTCGACTGGCTTCATTTGGTGTAGATTATCTCTCGAGAGCGTAACATCGATCAGCCTCAATTACCATGACAGAAGTCAGTTTAGCGTATTTTCTTCAGCAACATTTAATGCTTTCGATCATCAATTCCTGGAGGGCGGTTCTGTTAGAGTCATGCTCCGCCGGATTCTAAGAAGTTTGTTGACTTTCGTCCTTTTTCGAATATAGTCGTTCTTTCTAGCCTGCTCATTGTATATAGTGCAGAAATTTAGCTTGATTTCTAGATCTACTTGACATACTGATAAAATTAAATTTATTGGGGTTTCTGGAGGAAGTTAAACTTCTCACGAATCAATCAATCCATTTTCCGTCCAAATTTTCATTTATTAACTGAATTCAGACGTCTTGCGACTTTTTTTCTCCGTCTAAACTTTCGCTCCGGATGTTGAAAATGGCGGAGCTAGATTTCCTGAGGTATCATTGAATCTATTCAGTACAGACAACTTCGGCGGCGCTAATCATCTAGTTAGTTTCACCAGCATCGCGGAACGATTGTATTTAACCCTTTGCCTTTTGGCAATCGGTTGGTTAACTTGATCTGTCAGTTTTTTAAGAAATTCTTGTTGTCTCATTCCCTGTTAGACTCGATGTTAAAACACTCGAAGAGAAGGATCGAAGATGCATGATTCTGACCACGCACACCATTGGGTGAACATAGACCTCTTCAAATAAATCACTAACGTTTCTGTATTTAAAAGAGCTCAGAGTTCCAAAATATCACTTACTTCGTTGAAGAGCTCATCGTAAGATGAACGGAAGAATTGTTGTGACGGGCGGTACAATAATTACGTTCGATATATCGACAGGGACTGTAATAACCACACCCCTTCGCTTCCGTTCTCTTGGCACACGATTAATTAATGTTGTAATTCTTCGGCACTTTGTTACAATGGTGTAGAAGTGCTTTGAGATTTTTACGTCTCTAGGTGGATTTGTCGTAGCCAGCGCTGTTTAGTTTGCGATCACGTCAAAAAACATACACACACCGCACACACACTACAGCCAGTAAAGCACTCTATGGCCAAACAGGACAAAGTTTGTAGTCACGGTGATCGTTTGAATCGGAGTAACTGCCTTCCGTTTACCGCTATCATTTATGTACTAAGTGCTTACCTAAATAGTTCTCGAGTTTTCGAGCCAGGCCGAACTTTTTTCAGCGCTAAAAAATCTTAAAGAGTATGCATCAGCAGTCGATAAACAGTAGAACATTTCGGAGGTTTACACCACTCTGTTAAAAAAATACCTATCCGTCAAAACTTGGCGTGACAGATTAAAACCTCAGTTAATAGTTCCGAGATTTGCTAACTTGGGCTAAAAGAATTCGTTTCATTGTCAAGCACCTCTTACCTGTTCATCTTCTAAAGCGGAGGACGCCATCATTTCCAATGAACAAATGTCTATAGATGAGATTCAAAGACGTGATACTGGTTGAGTGGTTATTAATACCTTTCCCCGTGAACGCCAAGCGTGTCAAGGTAATCGAAATTTTGACGTAGAAAGGGTCACGTAAAATGATATAAATAGCAGTAATTGGCTTATGTTAGAAATAATCGTGACATGTTTGTCAAAAAGCAACGTTATCATCACACAACTTTGTTATGAGAAAACACGTCCGCTTTGAAAGACGGGCGGGAAAACTGTTTTTACAATATTCATTTGTAGGACAATTTCTCAGTTATTTCTTGTAAAAATAGTGAATTGCCCACTTACGCACCCCTATGTTTTTATGCTTTCTTACAGATCTGAATAAAATCATTGAAAATTTCCGGGTGCGTCCCACGCCGGGTTGAACGTGCCTTAGCTGGAAATGACCTGGTTTACAGCCAAGGTTATCAGGGTTTTGTCGTGTATATCCCGCTTCGAACAGTTTAAATCTTAATTCCTGTCTGGGGTAAAAGACTGAAACGCTTCCTGTGTTGGAGGAAAGAGATTTCATCGCGTACACGCTTTACATTATGACTGTAAGATACTGGAACGATTCCAAGACTGAACGTTTCGAACGTGGTACCATTCATGTGCACTGCCAAGCCCAAGTGACAATTTTGACACTCGTTGGAATTTTCACTTGGCCTGGAAGTAATAGTGAGGTCAGCTGAAGGCGCTCAATTCTGTACTTCAAGTTACAGGCGTGGGTAACTGGCCTGGGTTGTTCGAAAGGTAGATGTTATCCACCGGATTAATCACTATCCAGCGGATACCGTGGTTTGTTTTGTTGACACTTATCCACTCGATAGTGATTTATCCCATGGATAGCGTTGTCCAACCTTCCAACAACAGGGACTAGGAGCTAGTTTCTCGAAGGTCCCGAAAAGTTTCCGCACCCGAAAAGCCGTAGCAAAATCTCAAACCTTTTAACTACAGCTGTTTTATTCATATATTGTTAATACGAACAGAGGTTCTCTTTATACAAGAAGTTTCGAAATTCAGGTGCATACACCTCTCTGTCTTTAAATACCGATTACCTAAAAATGGCTTTTCGGGCCCGAAAAGATTCCGGGGCTTTCGAGAAACGGGCCTGTATATGAGGAAAGACTGGAAAGAACGGGATTACGCAACAAGCCTTGTCGTCGCAGTCTTGTCACCGGTTATAAGAAATTCAATGAAGTTTGCTAAGAATCTATCCTGTTCACAAGCACAAAATGACACATGGTTTCCAAGACTACGCCGTCGTTCTTGTGGCCATTCACGCAATCTTACCTCTCCAACGAAAGATTGCGTCATGTGCAACAAGAACGTCTGAATAGCTGTGGTAGGCTAATAATCGTTTCCCTGCACTTGGAGTTTGTTAATCCAGCTATTATTCTTGGCCTTTACATCTTGAAATTTTCTCGAAGCTATCACGAACTTTAACAACGCTCCCGCCAAAGGTGGCGTAGCTTTAATACCATATTTGACTGTCAAAGTTGTCACCGGCCGGGTGCCCTAGTAAGATTCAAGTGTCACGTTGACCTTGATGCTATACATTTTCTTACCAACAAAGCATTCCTTTTACACATTCAAACGCAATCCGTGATTAATGACAAGAAAAGTTTATTAATCCACAGCATGGAGAGCACGTCACTCATTTGTGAGTAAATTTAACCCCTGACTGGGGAAAACAATTATTGTATTAAATAAAACGGAAGTCTATTAGGGCAGTTTTCAATCGAGTGTCGTAAAACCAAAACTTGTAATCACTCTAGCCAATCACAAAGGACAGAGACGATACAATGAGCCAATCAAAACGTGAGGTAAACAAATGTAACTGACGGAAAACGCGCGAAAACGTGTGCGAACGAGTCACGATTGGTTTTGATTTACTTCTGATTGGATGAAAAAGTGGCGCGAGTTTTTTTTAAGCCAACCGTCATAGTAGCGTAGTAAGCGCAAAACCAACTACTTTTCGACATTCAAATGAAAACCGCCCTAAAACAGTATAGAACAAAAGTAAATCTTTGATGTTTACTTATTCAAGGAATGTTACAATCATAGAACCATTCTGAGAAAACAAGCTGAAGAGGAGGGAGGGAGGGGAGGCGGGGGGGAGTAGGTGAGATGAGGTATGAGCAGAGTTAAAAAAATCTTGTTAATCACGTTAGCCCAAGTTCCTCTACGACTTCTAAACAGCATTGAGACTGAACAGAATAGGACATCACAAAATTACCTCATCACGTGCATGGGTTATCTTCTGTAACTGGCCCATCAAGAATATGAGCAATTCATTTCACTTCTCACCCTGTTTAAAGCCAGGCTTTTTGTTTCATCACATTGACAAATTTATCATAACCATAGCGGGTAAAACGCTTCTGAATAAAATGGTAAATCACTGGTTACTCATCAAAAATTTCGCACGAAAAAAAACACTTCACTCATTCTTGAGTAGTGCCTTATATGAATTATGTTACCTTGACAACCGTTTCTTCGCCTCTTGTTATTTGCGGTCACGCTTCACGTCACGCAACGTTTTGTAAACAAGTGTTGCGTGACGAAAAACGACTGCGAACGAGAAGAAATCGTGTACGAAGACAATCCAACGTATTTTAAAATAAATTTAAATATCATCAAAGCTACGGAAGGCAGACAAGGCGGACGGAACCTATGAGCCCAGACTACTCCGTCAAAATATATATTAAAGTTCAATTTCGTGAAACACGGAGGCACTCAAAGTTCTCGGTTACAACCAAATCAACTCGGTCATAGTTAACAAACGCCAGCGGTTTCGATCACTTAGCATGCGCCCTAGTAATGAACCTTGTCAATTCTTCACTCCCATGTGATTCATTGTTGTTTGATTTATATTTGTCCAAGTGTGAAACTTCACGTTTCGCTTTCCTCGTCAAACTGCTCTTCCGTGTCCTGTTCGGAGGGGTCTTCGTCAGCTAAGAGCGCCGAGAATTTACTTGCCGTGTGGAAGACCTGTTGAGAAGGAGGCAGCAGCTCGTAATCAGTTGCTGGAAGGAGACATTTTAAGCATCAAACGGCAATCAATATACCATTCCCCCTACGACACTTGCGCGCATGGAATTATGGTAGTTTTATTCATCACGCGCACGACATCTTCGAGGCATTGCATACGACTACCATGATTCCTTGCTCGCGCGTCTCATAGAGGGAATGGGGTATTCTTGCGCGCGACGGCTACAATAAAGCGTTCCGCGGCGACCTCTCTCGGGTTTCGTCCTCAAAGAAAAACCTGAATTCAGTGATCGGCCCACGCAATAAAAGGCCGCATACGTACAAAGGTGTACTTGAACTCCCTACTTCTAGAGTATGGTGCGGTTCTGTACACGGAAACAAATGCACATTATGGACGGGAAAAGCATACGAAAAAGCCGAAAACAAAAGTTAAAACTACAGAACGTGAGAGATTGTGCGAGGACAAATCGAATGAAAGGCGGGGCAACAGTGATCAAAATTGTGACCGTGATATAAACATTCAAAATAATTTTTTCAGTTTTTTTTTTTCCAATCCAAACAGTGAAACATTTTACGATAACTGTAGAAATTCTCGCGAGCTCATTGGCTAATTTTTATTGTCAGTATGCGGACAGACATTAATTTATAATTTATGCGATGAGTCAACGAGCGAGGGCGGACAATTTGACAATTTGTTACCGTAAAAAACAAATTGACGTCAGTTTTTCATGCGTCTGTCCCATTGCTGAAAATGAATTTCGTCATAACATCGTCAAAGCAGTCTACGGATCCACTCGGCTATCGCCACAGCTACTTTAACAATGTTATGACCCAATTCATGATCAATAACAGGACAGACGCATGAAAAACTGACGTCAATTTGTTAACTATACAACTCGGACAAACCATCACCATAGTGATACCTCGTCCCTTTCACCATCTTTCATCACTGCCAATTCAACATCGAATATTCCTTTACAATATATACAGTGGGAAGTAGAAAGGTGGGAAGAACAAAGAACATCATGAAATTACAAATTCTCAGATCTAACATTTAAAGCAACGCAAGCAATTAGTAATTAGAATTAACAATCTATTAGCACCCACCGGCTGCGGGTTTTCCTCGTATTTCTTGGGCTCAGCGGGTTTTCTTTCGCGCTTCTCTTTCTTGACTCCTCTGCCACCTCCTCTTTCTGTATCATTCACATGTGGCCTCTCGCTTCTGTCTCCCCGGTCGGGACGTATCCCTCTTCCTCTCCCCCTGGGGGGCCCGCCTCCCTCTCTGGACTCTCTGAAGTCCTTCTTAGGACCTGCTGGCTTGCCGAAGACACCCTTCCTATCTGGGGACGTAGGAGAGGTCGGAGATGTCACTGTCATACTGCTGCTGTCCACATTGATCTCCACCCTGCGTTCCTCTGTGGGACTCTTTGGCTCAGTCTTGTCAGCGTTTGCCGTCGATGCTGCTTTCTGTTGCTCCATTCGTCGAGCCCACACATTCACGGCTGGAGGAGGAGCGTCTTTCGGTGCCTCTTTGGGAACATCTTTGGACTCTTTGCCATCTCCCACTCGCGGGCTTTCACGCGGTGGAGTCTCGCTTTCCTTGCCAGACATTCCCTCGTCACTAGACCTCGCGCTGTCACGACGGTTGCTGTCCCGTCGTTCCTTTGGGCCCCGCTCTCCGTCGCTTGATCGATTGCTGTCTCGCCGCGCACGACCGCTGGGGTTTCGCGGCCACTCATCGCGTTCTCGTCGCTCCTTCTGTTTTTCTTTCTCCTGCTTTAGCCTCGCCTCGTCTTCGAGCTTTTGGCGAGCGAGTTTCTCCTCGATCTCTCGCTCTTTAGCGGCCGTGTCAACGGGTTTCGCGCCGCCAAAGACAGAGCTGCCCGACACGGGTTCATCTTTGGTTTCTTCTACCGGTTTAGTGCGCGGCTGGAGTTGAAGTCTTGGCCTCTCTTTAACTACAATTCAGACCAAAAAAAAACAGTTTCAAAATCAAACAAACAATTCCATTTATGTACGTAGAATTTTAGCAAAGTTATGGTCACGCTATGATCGAACTTCGCAAACAGACGCACGTCTACCGGGACACAGCAAAATTCTGTCTTTTGTTCTCAACGTTACTTATGCTTCAAGGTACGGCATCAAAATTTGCCCAGTGAAATTCTGCAAGTCTTCATTCAGGAGAACAATACCACGGCCAGTTAATGGCGAAATCCTGACTCTGGTTTTCGACACCGAAGTTACTAAGCAACATAACGCGTCACCATTGCTCCAACGCTAGCACGACAACATTTCCCACAAACATCACTATTTGTCCGACTGAAAAAGCTTCTGTGTTTCAAGGATATGGTCGTTAGAAGGCAATACAGAGCCTCGACAACACATCACGCTAACGGTTTCACTTCAAAAACTTTCCAGCCAATCAAAGTGCGTGCAGTCTGGTGACTACTTTAAACTGATTTGAGAACAAAACCCTGCAGTGGAAAAGCCTGCATAACGATAGCTGTTTACCATTTCCATGGAGAAACCGGTTCGTTAGTGGTTTGTGCAAATCATGGAATGGTAGGCATAAACGCTTGATGGTCGGTTCCGTTCGGATTGGCCATTTACCATTTATTTAAAAAAAAAAAACAATTTACCGAAAGAATCTAAGACGAGTTTGACCTGATCATAATTCAAAGATGGTGGATATTTCGATTGCGAATCTTGGACTACTTTTCAAGACGTTCCGTTTATTTCGAAAATGTTCCGGTGGGTCCATCAAAAATTGTCTCACCAGTTACCAAAATGTCCGGAATTCTTGGGTAAATGGTACACAACCGATGTCCCGGTAAGTTTCAAGACGTGGGGTTGGCAATAATCCTTAATCTCTCACCTGGCTCCCTCTCGTCTCTATCGAAATCGCTTCTTGCATCTCGACTGTCACGCCATGAGCTTCGCTCACGTTCACGGTCATCATAGTCACGTCTCCGATCTCTATCACCAAAACGGTCGCCACCTCGGCGATCATCGTACCGACGATCGTCGTAGCGACGATCATCGTGACGGTCTCGGCCATATCCACCACCCCGATCCCGATCACCACCGTATCGATCACCACCGTAGCGATCTCCGCCGAAGCGATCTCCGCCATAGCGATCACCGCCGAAGCGATCTCCGCCGTAGCGATCACCGGATCGACGGTCGTCGTATCCGCGGTCTCGGCCATATCCACCACCCCGATCTCGATCGCCGCCAAAACGATCTCCATACCGACGATTATCGTTTCGGTCTCGGCCGTAGCCGCCATCAGAGCGGTCGTAACCTCTGTCGTCTTGCCTGTATTGGATGAAAGAAAAAGAGAAGTGTACAACTGGAGTTGAATCCTTCCAGAACTAAATCATCGTCGTCCATCAGGAGCCCGTTTCTCGAAGGTCCCGAAAAGTTCTCGCACCCGGAAAGCCATAGCAAAATCGCGAACCTCATGATTACAGAGCTGTTTTATTCACATTTTCTTAACATGAACAGAGGTTCCCTTTATACAAGACTGTTTTCAGATAGAGATTAACCAAAAATGGCTTCGCGGGCCCGAAAAGTTTCCGGGGCTTTCCACAAACAGGCCCCAGTGGCGGGTTGTTCGAAAGTCGGTTAACGCTAACCCAGGATTAAAAGTTAACCAAAGTATTAATTTTTCTTGCAAAAAATGTTTTTCACTGCTTCTATCTTGTGTACTTTGAGATTATTCAAGCTCAAAACTGAAGGACAAACAATATAGACAGAAAACCGCACCGAAAAGCTACAAAACTGACATCAAAATTCTCGCTCATCCTGGGTTAGCTTAATTGGGAGTTTACTTCTACATGTAAGAGTAGAACCTTTCGGAAACTGAAACATTTTCGCTCATTTAATATCAACAAGTAGTTTACTTTTTAGAAGGAAATCACTTTACTCGATCAGAATCAGTCATATCGGGTGATATTCTCCGAGTACGGCCACTCGCGCTCAGTTGATAAGAAGCAAAAACATATTAATTTTCGTTAAAAAACTGTACTATCATAAAACCCTCGATCAAATGAGTGGGAAGAGTGAAAAAACACTCGCCAACGCCTCGCATATTCTGAATGTCTGTCCTTTTCTCTAACAGAGTAAAATAAGTAAAAATAAATAACTTATATAAGTGTCAAATGTATTTAGCAATGTTGTTGCTAATTGGGGACACCGTAAAAAAATAAATAAACAACTATTGCAAATAGAACATACACTATTAAGAATCCCAACTGGTGGGAGACTGACCAGTGGGCTACATGTATTTACACGACGCGGTCGAGGAGTTGAACTCGGGACCTCTGGATTTCAAATCCAACGCCCTTAACCACCCGGCTACGCCGCCTCCTAATAAAGTTTAAGGCGGTAATAGAGATGTCGGTGGTTTCTTCTCTCTCCTTTCTCCATACCTGTCTCTATCGCCGTGATCCCATCCACTGCCGAATCCTTTTCCTCGGTCACGCTCTCCGAAGCGATCATCCCCCCGGCGGTCAGGAGGTCCAAAGTCTCTTCCCCGCGGTCCGTCATCGTACCCACGGTCCCTGCCGTAACCCGGTCTGTCCCGAGGGCCATCGTCGTATCCTCGGTAACCCGATCTGTCCCGAGGACCGCTGTCGTATCCTCGTGGCCCCCAACGATCTCGCGATCCCATGTCATCATTATATCGATCTCTATCGTTATAACCGTTTTGGTCCGGTTGAGGATCGGCTTTGCTTCGCCAGTCGCTGTCGGTACGATCAGGTTCGTCTCTTCGGTCGCGGTCACCGCGTTCACGCTCTGGTAACAGAAAGAAAAAGAAAGCGAGTGATTGAAGACACTCATTAATAAAATTGAATAAACACACCAAGGATTTAACATGGCAGCCAAATTAGATCAGTACCAGACTTCCTCTCTCTCTATCCTGTAATGGTAACGGTGTGAAAGCCTTCGGATGAAAAAATGGCGCCTAAAAGGACTTATTTTCTCAGACTTTCAATAGTCAGGATGCTTAAAAATTATGCAGGACCCCTAAAATCTTGAAGCTGAAGGGCCCAGGACGCTTTCTTTGGAGAACCTAGTGCGAACACTGCCTGCTGGTGAGCACGGAACAATCCAACATATCTGACTACTGCAAAGTCAACCACAAACTACTGGGGTAAAACCGTAATGGATCTACCAGTATTAACTCATCCTCAGCAGTCAGCGAGGGCAATGGAAAGTCAAAATAACGAGAAAAACATCGCCAAAGAAAAAAGTCGGGGAGAAGGCGGGCAGCCCCATAATATAAATGTACATGTACTAGACAAAGAGTTGAAAGTGAAGAATGATCATCGCAGTAAATTTTCCAATTTAAGCAATTGGAAAGAAGAAGCCTGAAAAAAATCAGGACTTCAACGGGATTCGAACC